GTACAAACTTTGTGATTGTAAGTGGGCTAAAATACACAAGTGAGATATGACTTGTTTCTGTGCTTTATTCAAAGAGTGATGGAATTTAGTGTTTACTTTAAAGTGTAGGTCAAAACCTACCAACAGAATTCCTTAGAATTTAATTTATGTTAGCCTTTTGTTTAAAATAACACTCAATAATGCCAAAATGTTCAGGTTATCCCTTTTCTTATTCTTACCAGCTCAGGACACTGGTGGTTATATGGACAGTGGGGTTACAAGTACAGTGTATTTGGTTTTTCTTAGCAAAAAACTGTTATATATATATATAATAGTTTGTACTTTTGTTACCGTTCAGTTTGTAGAAGCATAAATGTTGTAATATGGTACTTTCACATTTATATTTCAGAGATTTTGTGATACTTAATATTTTAGTTTATATACAGTGCAATTGCTACTCAATAAAGAAGAGTACATTGTAATCAGAATGTATTTATTTTGGAACATCTAACAAAAAAAAATCATCCATCTTTTGGACATTTTTGAAAATTAAAGTCATGTGCTTAAAGAAATCTTTGTTTGTGGGAGTCCACCTGTGTGAAAATATGGGAAAAAAATAAAATAAACACCTCACTTGTTGATAGAAATAAACTGTTTGTTTTGAAGAGCCACCTTAGCTTTTTTCACCTTTCTCTTTGAGAGAAAAAAACTTTAAACAATGTCCATGACCCATACATTAGAATCCAAAACTTTGTTCATTTCAGCACTGAAATCTGGATAGTTGTCATAATAGACTGACAGCTCCAGGACACAGCCACATGTGTGAGCCACCGGTCTTCTCAGAAACCCTTGGATCTTGTTGAACTCAATACTTATTCTCTTGTCCAGGAACAAGTCTGACCCTGTGCAGAATCTTAGAAACAAGGACAGATGCTGCAAATCTGCATTCCTTATGTATGTGGTTACATACCTTTGAATGGCCGTCTGATGGACATTCATTTCCTCAGGAAAGTCGAGGGACTTCAAAACTTTTCTTACATTTGGTTGCAAGTTTTCATATACTGAAGAAATGTCCTTCAAGCTGTTCTCAGTGATGCTGAGTATTTTTGCCCATTGTTCAATAACATAGGCCGGCTCTTGGACAAGTGTTTTGTGTGCAAGTTCCTGTAGGATTTCGTTTGCATTGCTGGCAGTGGGCAGTCGTCTGCAGCAGTGGTTATCAAGAATCTCTATTAATTCTTCTTGGTCAACACTGCTAAAATCTGCTTGCCATGATTGAAACACTGTGCGCTCAGATTCAGGCATGTACTTCAGAAAATTTTCCACCACATCACTTTTTACATGTCCAAAGGCAGCCTGCTCTAATATGACAGGTGCGATCCCCACAGGAAGATATTTCTGTCTTGTCCAGCCAAAAGCGATTATTCGGCCTACACTCTCCCACTGCTCCTGTCCATAATCGTGTCTTAGAAATGGAACTTTATAAGCATTTCCTGTGGTACACTGCTCATAAAAATCTTTCCAGAATTCAGAGAGACAGTCTCTCACAACTCCTCCTTCATCAAATGCCATCTCAGGTTTTCCATCAGGCAGGACAAGTTGGATTCTGAAGTTACTTTCTAGAATTTTATCATCACAGAAGTGTAATATGAGCTGCCGAAGTACCTGTCCTCTGTGAACAACCAGTATTTTCTTCACTGGCTCTGCTAAGGACAGGGTTTGTGGAGACAGAGGTAGAGTATTATCCAGAATCTGTGGCTCACTCTCAGAAAACTCCCCCACAAATACAATGTTACTGGTATCCTCATCCATGAACTCTGTGGAATGAAATGTTAATTCAATATTTTCGTCATTTGTGGAATTTTCGAAAAATATCAAGTCAGTAGTGACTGTTTCAGATTCTGTAGCCTGACTGATTGTAGCATCATTAAAAGCTGAAGAAGAGGAGGGATGACTGTGAGAACTGTTGTGGTCCTGAGCAAATGGTGAAGACTCTTCATCTTGACAGTTTGAGTGGGTTTCCATCTTTTTACGTGTGGTCAGATAAAACCTGATAACCGGGAGTTTTGTATCAATGTAAAGTTGTCCTACTGTAATGTTGTCATCAACTGCCACTTCCTGATAATCTCTGAGATCCACCTCAAAATCTGCTAAGGACCCTTCTCTATTTCTCCCATTAGGAAAGAATAGATCAATTGCCATCTGAATTATGTCATTTTTCTTTGCATCTTTTGATACATCTATCCTCCTTGTTCCACCTCCTCTTTTTGCTCTCACTTGTTTAAAAGCCTCTATTTCTTCATCGTAGATCATCCAGCCTAGTTCTATTTTCCTCTTTGACTTAAGAGCATTTTTCTTTACAGGGGTTGCAGATTGCTCTTCTTGTTCTGTACTGCTGCCATCTTCATCAGCAGTTCTTCTTTTACGCAGTTTTGATTTAAGGCGCTCAAAAAGCTTTGTTTTGCGCCAATTTGGGTTTCCATTTTCCTTTCTCCTACAATAACCTAACAGTGCAAGGCGGTCTCCATATGATGGCAAATAACTCTTTAATTGTTCATCTGTCATCAACTGGATGATGCTGGTATCGATCTAAATGAAGACAGTGAAATATTATTGTTTAAAAACACAATTATAGCAACAGAATTGCATGTGATATTATTGAAATTTAATTAGATGATATTGCAAGAAACATGCTTCCCGTTCCCACAATATTTTTGAATTTTTTTAAATGTTCATCAAAGTACCTTCTCTCTCAACATGGTCTCTATAGTTTCCTCAGGAATGTTCCTTTGTCGCAGGAAATCCCAAAGGTCATCCATTCCGTGACCATACACTGAAAGGAAAGATATGAAGAACAACAACATAGATATTTCCAATATAACATAAAAAAATCCATGCAACATACTTTTACAACCATGGAGTTAGTCATAATGCCAATCAGTTCTCAGTGTCAAAGTAAATCTTACAGCATTTCAACATTTTACTAAATTCCACGGACAGGCAGGAAGTTGATTATTTTTTTATTCTGAAATCTTTTTTCTTATTTTCTGTGATGGGTTATGCTTTTACATTGATTTACTTTACTGGTAAATAATTTTCAAAACATCATATTTATCAAAATGGAAAAAAAACTTGATTAAATAGTGATCGTGATTTGACATAAAATAAATTGTGATGATTTTTTTTCCCATATCAACCACCCCTTGTACCATACAGTTTTAGGCACATAATATAAGAGGATCAGTTTGTATGTAAGTTGAAATGATTTGAATAAAAGCATTTAAAACAACTGACAACTCCAGTGATCATCCCTGCCCCACTGCAACATTATATGTGGGTTTTATTTCACTTCCTTTGCTTTAAACTAGGCTGTTTTTTTTATTGAAATATGTTATTTATTTTAGGTTTCTTTTCTAATTTTAACCTTTATTGTTACTTATGCTTTCTCATAAGTGTCTTCAGCACTAATTTTCATGGACTGAAAAGATAAGGGGTTAATCAACTCTTTGGATGTTCAGTCCAATGAAGAAAGTACTTACTCCATGAGTACTGGTACATCATATTAAAAACTCTGACAAATATATGCTGTTGAAACTTTATTTTCCTGTATTTGCAAATACTAATTTTTACTCACCTGAGTACTCTAGTCCTTCTGCTGTGTCTTTTGGCTGTCCTTCAGCTGTATAGCACCAACTCACAAGTGGAAGATGCACAGTTCTTTCCTAGTCCTGCAACAAATCACATATTTGCAGTTTAACATAAAAAAACACAGACCGGAAGGTAATGTTTTAGAATAGCAAATGTACCATGTAGACATTAAATAGTGGTGAGAAGCAGCCTCTAAAAACTATTTAGGAACACCGGAATTTGTTTGTCCTACACTAAACATTTATTATTAGAGCTAATTGAAATGTACTGACTTTGTTTTATGGATAGGTAGTGTTTTCTTTGACTGTTATATTTTAGCTGTAACCAAAGACCTAGAATGACGCTGGCTAAAACAAGCTCAGTTTTTAGCATACACTATATAATGTTACACATTTATGCGGTGCGCTAACATTAAAAACGGTTAAACTGATGTATGTCAAGTCAAAATGTATACACATTATTTATATGGGAAAAAAATTATAATTACATACCTATATAACTGGCATACCAGTTCTTCAGTTACATGAAGTCCTTGATCATCCAAAGAGCTAACAATCTGCCTAAAGCCAAGTGGGCTCCATTCCCGCTCAGATCGGAGGCCTGCTGATTACGTCATACTACGGCAAATCCACTCGGACAAACTTCATTGCACATCTTTTTTTCATACATTTCTTCCACACATTGGTTCTGAGCTGAGAAGAGTTTAGCAGGTTTTCTAGAAAATATGCTTCTTACCACCTACATGTTTTCTTTAAAGCTGTCATTTGCTAATGTAACCCCATTATTTTTATTTTGTAAAGAATGTGAAACTACCCAAAAACTCTGACAACAGTTCTTTTGGGATATTTTAAAGTATTCTTATGTATAACTCGTTAGTTATTATGTTGTACATTTTATTTCTTAAATCTAATTTACTTTAATTATTTTATCTGCTGTTTTATGTTGTCACATCAATTTGAATGTTTTATGTTCTTGCTGGAAAAATCATTAATTGCTCAGGTTTGTGCTAGACAAATGAAGCTGCCTTGCTAACTGTCCAAAAAAGCTCTTAACTAATTATATTTTGACTCATGTCATGTCAATGGTGTGTGTGTGTGTGTGTGTGTGTGTGTGTGTGTGTGTGTGTGTGTGTGTGTGTGTGTGTGTGTGTGTGTGTGTGTGTGTGTGTGAGAGAGAGAGAGAGAGAGAGAGAGAGAGAGAGAGAGAGAGAGAGAGCAAACTAGCACGGTACACCCTGGACAGGTAACCATTATTTACATGTTACTAGTTACATTAAATAACACATAGGAGAGAGAGAGAGAAAGAGAGAGAGAGAGAGAGAGAGAGAGAGAGAGAGAGAGAGAGAGAGAGAGAGAGAGAGATCAGCAAAGTACAATTCTGTCCTTATTGTTTTTACTTTTCCCACTGATGCAGAGCCGAGACGTAGGTGGTTGTTGCTATTCACAGGGACAAATTTAATGTAACACAACACACCTGTGCTTGTAGTCGGCACTTCAATGCTTATGACATCCATGAACTTGAGGATCTGGATACCAGAGGAGGAGATAAGGCCAAATCTGCCTGTAGACTTTTAGGACTACCCAGACACCACAGTCATTCTTGACTGCACTGAGCTGATGTGTCAATGTCCATCTTCCCCTCTCCTCCAGAGTGAGGTGTTTTCCTCCTACAAAGGAGCCTGATGTCTGAGCACCCCGAGTCATGTAGGGCAACCACACTGTATATTTACACACTTCCATAAAGGTACTGCATTTAAAGCTTTCACTCAGATGATCTTCAACGGTGCTGTGCCCTTCTGAGGGCTTGAGATGCGGTACCTTTACAAAACCTCTGCAATAAAGTAAGTTATGATTAATTTCTCATTTGATAGTTCTTAAAATAAAAAAAAAACCTATGTCATGCTTAAATGTGTATTTGTATGTTTTAAATGGTTTTGTAATAAAAAAGAAATTGAAAGTTTTTGGTTTCAAATGCTTCTGTGGTAAATAAAATAAGTCATCGGTTTTTGTTTAGTCTTCTTTAATTCATTTAATTTAAATCTTATCTTTTGAAACTAAACAGAAGCCATTTAAAAATGATTACTCATATAGCAAACAAAACATCACAAACAAGAAAATGCAGAAATATTTAATTTTACTGCAGATTTACATTGAATTTCCTCCACAGTAAGTCTTTACATTTAAACAGCAATGAAAACATTACAATAGTGTCTATATGACTCCATGTCACGAGGAACTCACTGAATAAACATGTCATCTGTGGTGTAAACAACAAAGTCACACCACTCACATGGAGAAATCAACAGTCAACACCGACCTGCCAGTAATGAGGATGAGATCGCCACAGAGAGTAAACCTTTTCTGAGCATAATAATCCACAAAGCTACACACATTTAGGCATTTTATTTCCAGCAGGCCACACTCAGGCTGGCCTCAGGATCATACATAATCCCATCTGCTGTTGAACCCATCCATGGTGCCTCAGGGTGGATCAGGACCCCACAAGGGTAGTGGTTTACCTCTCTTACCTTGCAGTACTCCTTGATGGCTGTAGGCTCCAAAGCAAGACCCCAACATTTGTCATCAGTCTGACTACTCCCATAGGCTGTTTCACAAGGTTCTCAGCAGAACCTTCTGCCCTGGTGTGACACACTTATCTAAATTTTGTAGAAGTGATGTGGCATCTCCTTAGTTGGTGCCCCTCCACACAGAAACTCTGCAGTTGTGTTCTGTTCTCAGCTTTGTATGATTTCCCCAATGATGTTGTGAGGGATGTGAAATGATGATGTTCAGTAAACACAAATGCACATGCAGAGGGTCCCAGTCTGTAATGAGAGAGTGACAGTTGTGGGAGAGAAGGGTTGTCTTTGTGTGGACGCGTCCTGGGGGCCGTCCTCACTGGTAGTTGGTAAGATGGCCCGCTTCCCTCCTGCACCGAACCAAACGTGGACCCACCCAGAGGTACGTCACCAGAGACAGCCATGGTTGTTATCACCGGAGCCTCATCTGCACCAAGTCTGTGGTACGCCTCCTGCACCTTCAGAACGAAGCTGTCTGTCATCGGGGAAGCTGACTTCTTTTTACAAACTGCTTCTGGGGAAGAAAAACAAAAGTCAAATGGGGTGTGTGCATGTGCGTGTGTGTGCGTGCAGTCCAGAAAGAGAAACATACCTTGTTCATTCTACCGGTCTCCTCTCTCTTGGTCTGGCTGATATGATGACCATGTCATTAACTGGACATGGTTTAATACCTTGTTTCCAAATAAAAACAAGTTTAAAGGTTATAAAAGAAATATGTATACACATAATAATAGTATCATTAAAAGATTGTAACCTTGGTCCCCGTTTTGTGCCACTGTTGTTCAGTTTCTGTGCAGCTCAACACTGGGGAGGGGGACCGATGTAAGTTTCAGCTGGGAGAAATGTGCCGTCTGGTAGAGTTGAGCTGCCACATGACATCACATGGCTGCACCTGCCACACATACACTGGCACCCCCAATGGCTTTGAATCCCTTAGCACAATCTGTTACAACACAGAACATTTGTTAGAGTACAACTGCATTTAAAGAGAGACAAACATTGATGATTAACTTCACTTTATTCATTTTAAAATAGAAGAGTAGAACAAGTAATGGAAAAAATAAAATAACTGTAAACAATGTTGTGCTTCTGCGAGTCATCTAATGTCTGACTTTCTGTGACATGCTATTTATACAAACTTTACTTACTATATTCTTTCTGGGACACATTTTATCTCTGATACATGACACACGTAGTTCAGGCATGTCATTAACCTGTTATCAAACTAAAAGCAATGATATGACTCGCAAAAATGTGACGTTTAAAAACATGAACAGTCTTCTTTTGAACCTGAATCAATCCTGCACTGAACCTGCAGGGTAATGTTTCCCTACACTCAGACAGTGGGGCTTCTGGTTTTTCCTCATTGACCTGAAACACTCGGACCTAACCGTGACCTCTCCTGACTGCATGATTAAAACTGAGAATAACATATGAACTGTTGTTTTTTTTTTCTTTCATTTCAGACACGAAAAACACGCATGACCTTACTTATCACTCCAATAACGTTTCCTTGTTGTGCTAACTTAGGCTAGTGGAGAGCTAGCATGTAGCATCTTTAGTAACTCAGAGCAGAAGTTTGTTAGCTTACCTTCATAGCTGTGTAAGTAGCCGGGCACATACAATACAAGCTTTGTCCATACTAGATTTTGGCATTTCGGACGAGGCAAGAAAGATTCGGTGTACATCGTTAACCATTATTCTTGGGAGGTCTTGCAGCAAACGCGTACAAATAGCCATTCTGACCACTCAGCGCGAACGAAGTTGTGTGCTGCAGGTTGAAAAATACGGAAGTGCAAAAACGGAAGTCCGTGGAGGCCAGCAGAATTTATCTCATAATTATGAGATACTATCTCATAATTATGAGATAGTATCTCATAATTATGAGATAGTATCTCATAATAATGAGATAGCTAAGTCATAATTATGAGATACTAAGTCATAATAATGAGATACCATCTCATAATAATGAGATAGCTAAGTCATAATTATGAGATAGTATCTCATAATAATGAGATAGCTAAGTCATAATTATGAGAAACAAAGTCATAATAATGAGATCCTAAGTCATAATTATGAGATCCTAAGTCATAATAATGAGATCCTATCTCAAAATAATGAGATAATCAAGTCATAATAATGAGATGTTATCTCATAATAATGAGATAGCTAAGTCATAATTATGAGATAGCTAAGTCAAAATAATGAGATAGTATCTCATTATTATGAGATAGCTAAGTCATAATTATGAGATAATAATTTTTTTTATTTTATCTGAGTGGCGGGAATGGGCTTCCATATAAAAGCTATGGGTTGCTCTGAGGATCAATTGTGGCACAATGTGCACAGTTATGGACCACATCACCAACACACACACACACACACACACACACACACACACACACACACACACACACACACACACACACACACACACACACACACACACACACACACACACACACACACACACACACACAGTTCAAATTATGGTTTGTTTTTATTGTTTCCATTGTTTAGATTATGGTTAATTCATAACAACATACCTGTGCTAACACCATATTATTTTCAATGTTCAGTTTATGGTCAATGCAGGTGCATGTGTGTGCACACAACCATACACAGTGTTGTTTACCATTGCTCATTTTATGGTTAAATTGGTTGGTTGATTGGTCTGGTTAAATAAAATTGACTTGTTGTCTTTTTCCTACCATTTATCTATGCAGGTCCATTTTGACCCGACACACCAAAGATGTCACTATTGTTAATAATTTTAAGTAGTAAAAAAATTATATATTGTTTTGGTAGGTGTATTCTAATATTAGTTTATAACACATTTATAGTTTATTATTACTAATTCTATAAGAAAAGAAATATATTTAGTGAATTTAAACAGTTTTTGCAATCAAAAAGGAGTGGTATATTTTAAAATAATGTGTCTGCGGAGCCAACTAAAAAAACTATTTACACACTGGTTCCATTTATATGAATGCATACTAAGCCAGCAATTAGCTGAAAAACAACATTTGAAGAAAACTGGGGATTTTAAGCATTTTTAAATCATGGGTCCAAATGGACCCGCTAATACCACAGGTGTAAACAGTTTTCTAACACAATACAAGGGTTGAAAGGCAAAATAAACAAACCAAAGTTTCTACATCAAGCAGAACAAGTATGGGTTCTTTTTCCTCACCCTTTCTGGTAATGAATCCTATTGTGTGCATCTCAATGCTATAATATCTTTGGCATTGTTGAGTTGTGGTTTGTTTCATTCTTTACAAAAATGTTCCAATGATGTATTTTCAGGGCATTGTTCACTTACTGGATTTTTTATTTTTTTCTGTGTCAATGCTCTCTTTGGAAATTGAGCCTCTCAGGTGAAACCAAGCCCCCATAATCCTGGGATGAATATGTCATTTAACTGCTTGGTCAAACATGTTAGTGGGGCTGCTGGCCGAAAAAGAAACGAGCGGGTGACCTGTTTCTCTAACCCTAACCCTCATTATCATTCATTAAATGCAATTCAGTTTTTTGGTTGAATGCTGTAAGCCATTCAAACAATTGTTTTCCTGTCTCTCTTTATCGTTTATTATTCTGCCGCTGTACATTTTTGGCATTTAACTACTTCCAAAATTCTTCAGCTATTTACACAATTTTGGTATCAAAATGTTCAGCTTGTTCAGCTTATGCCAGTTGTGACTTTTGGTATTAAAATATTTTATACTTTTTGAGATATTCAGCTTTTTCTGTGAGTTTTGGTCCCATTGGAATACATGGGAAATCCTTCAAATACTCTGATTTTTCACAAAATCCTTTTAGCTCTGTGAACTTTAACAAGATGGGCATACTTTAACCTAGAAACTTCATTATTGCATTAAAGCGGTCACAAGACTTTCAGCTATTTCTGTATGACTCCTCTTGTTAATATCTTCCATGGTTTGTATACAATTGCAGTTTACGTTTTAGGTACATTTTAGAAACGTTCAGAAACTTCTCCGACAATGGGAAAGTATAGAGGAGCTGTTCCGACTTTGGTCCACTTCAGGCACTCTCCTGAGAGAACCGTAGATCCACTTAAAATGAGACTTGCACAGGATGAGAGCTGGCAAATATACCACTGTTTTGAGGTATAATTTGTGAAGCTACACCAAAAATTGTGGTCGTCGTGTTCATTTCTTAGAGAATGTTTGAGATTATGTTTCTGTCTCCAACACTGACAAAGTCATGTGACCTTGAGATTGGACCAAGATTCTTTAACAGCAGTTGTCTCATACGACCACATCTTTTGTAGTACATTAATGATTTTCTTATAAACAGTATGTTTTTTGTCGCCTTCGAAGCGTTGTCTTCGGTTTTCTGTAGGTATTACGGTTTTGGTGCTACGAGCCTCAAAAGGAGAAGAGTCCCTGATTTTGTCTCATTGAAACATGTTAAAGAAACAGAGATTTTCTCCTCTGATCGTCTTCAGACAGCTAAAATATTCTCGTCATAGCTTCTACACAATTCAAGGTACGCACATAAAAATTCACACAGATTACCACCAAAGCCTTCTGCTGCTCACACTTTTTGAAAATTTCCAACAGGTGCAGCAGTTTTTGAATGGCGACACATTCTTTCAGACCTAAAAACTGAATCTGAGGAAGCAGACGAGTGTAACCACATGCAGTTCGCTCGTTAACTGTTAATGTAAGCAATTAAGAGATCAAAGGATGAAAGTATGTCTGTCTGCTTATCTTTCGGTGTGTGTGCATGTGTATGTAGGTGTGTGAGTGTGGGCGTGTGTGTGGGTGTGTAGCACATGCTTAGCAACAACTTTTTTACATTTTAAGACACCACTGTATCAACATACTTTAACGTAGAAACATTAGGTATGAGCAAGTACACCACTATCTGTATCTGTTCAACCATCTAAATTATCTGTATATCTGTACTCGGGGTGGGGGTGGCCTAACCCGGAAGTGGGTGTAGTTTAACCAGAAGTGGGTGTGATTTACATCAATACATTATTTTAAGTCTGGAATTGATATGGATTGATCAGAAGTTGCTATGTGTATTGTTTATTTGAAAACTTTACAGAGCAGCCTCAGAATTGAGATTAAATATTTTTGATCACAATAGTAAAGGAACTATTACAGAACAGGTTTTTCAATAAAATCTGAACATTATTATTTAAGTACATGAATTAATACATCTGAACTCAAGCAGTAGGAACTAGGAAATATGAAATACTAGAACCAGACACGACTTTTTTTATTGATTATTAAAATTATAAATTATTTCATTCAGTCTCAGCTAAGTACCCTCTGTATCACTCATTAGCTGCTTTTACTGGACCATAGTGTTTGCAAAACGGGATTTTCCATGGCTCCCTGGGGAGGATAAAGGCCATTTAAAAGATGAGACTGTGGCGGTAATGTGGCGCAATCGTGGCAGTTTTATAAAAGATTAGGTGATGGCGGCATAAAGGGGGTATGGGGCGGTCTCTGCGCTGCCGCAGAGTTCCATTTATCTTGGACATAATTTGCTTTTCATTGTGATTGAAGCCATGATCATTAACTTTTTTTTTTAACAATCAGCTCCTAAAGGTGTCTGTCCCCATCAGTCCCTGTGCAGTCTCTGGTGATCTGAGCTTCAGCTCTAACAGAGAGGCTCATGGAGCACTGGGGCGCTCCAGTTTGCCATCTCAGCTGATTTTGTTCAAAAAGCAAACCTTATTGCCTGTGTTAACTTTCATTTTCAATAAATTTTCCAGCCGGAGCTCAGCAATAACTCTGCCTCTGTTGCGCCAGGGCACATATGACAGACCATTACGGCAATATTACTACCAAGCGAGGCGGAACGAATGCCGCAAAATTTGTGCAACACAATACAATACACATTACACCGGAAGTCACCCACTTCCGTAAGGCTCCATCTCTGCAATGTTCGACTTTTTCCGGTGAGTTTGAGGAATGCTATGGCTTCTTGCTTCTGTGCCGCCTTGCCTTTGAATGATCACCGGGATCTTTTTCCACAGACTCTTTGGAGATTTCTTTTATAGTTGGACTTTTGAGAGGCAAGGCACTTAGGTGGGCAGAAGCAAAAAGTAGGAATCCTGAGTTTTTATCAGGTGCCTACACGGATTTTTTTGGAGGATTTTAAAATTACGTTTTGCAGTACTGAGACAACCACTGATATTAGAAAGAGGCTCTTACACCTCTCCCAGGGAAGGAGGACAGTGGCGGACATGTCCTTGGAGTTTCGGACTTCAGTGGCTATGACGTCATGGAACGAGGATGCCTTGAAGGCAGCATTCATCGAGGCGTTAAGTGACCGGGTGACCTTTCGACTGCGGCATTGACCTGCTGCCAGGAGCTCCGCTTCCAACTAGTCGCCTCTACAGTCTCTCGAAGCCTGAACAGGACTGTATGCAGTCCTACATTACGGAAGCGGTAACCAATGGGACCATGAGACCATCTACCTCACCCTTAGGGGCAGGGTTTTTCTTTGTGGCTAAAAAAGATGTTTCCCTTCTCCCCTGTATCGATTACCGGGGTCTCAACCAAATAACTGTCAAGGACAAGTATCCACTCCTGTTACTCTCATGCACATTCGAGCCAGTCCAAGATGCTACCATTTTTACTTGGTTAGACCTTCATAATGCTTACCCTCTGGTCAGAGTTCGCCAAGGAGATAAATGGAAGACTGCTTTTAAAACACCTTTGGGGCATTTTGATTATTTGGTAATGCCTTTTGGTCTCACTAACGCCCCCGCAGTTTTCCGGAGACTTGTGAACTTGGTTTCGGGGGATTACATCAATGACTTTGTGACTGTGTGTCACACAGTGGAATGTGTGTTTTCTGTT